CCCCCCTCCCAGGCAAGGCTGGCAGAAGGGGCCAGGGCTGAGTGTGCCCCACAGCCCAGGGGCCTCCAAAGGGCCCGGTGCAGTCCTGGCCTGTAAGGGATCTGAAAGGAACCCAACCGCTTCTGAAAATGAGCCTCTTGGGGGCCACCAGCATTTCCCAGGATGGTGAATGGATGTGCAGATGAGAGAGGGAGAGAAAGAGGGAGAGGAAAAGAGGTGGGGGAGAGAGAGAGAGAGACAGAGAGAGAGCATCCTCCTCTTCCTACTTTTTCTCACATCCATCCTGCCACCATCACTCTCCTTTTCCCTCCCAAGTACAGGTAGTCCTCACTTAACCACCAGACACTTAATGAACGCTCAAAATGGCAACAGAGCTACTTACAACCTGGTTCCAGAGGTCCAATGCCCCCCCCCCCCCCCCCCGGGCCGGCCCTGGTCCCAGCTGCATTTTGGGCTCCCGCTGGCAGCATCCTGAAGCCATTTGGGCCTAATTCAGGGTTGGTTGAAGAAACCAGGTTTGCTAAATGTCCACCGCATTCACTTAATGACGGTGGCATTCGCTAAACAACTGCTACCAAAAAAATTTCCCATGGGGTGTGGTCATGTGGCAGCTCACTTAACGACCGTCACAACCTGCAACTGTAATTCTGGGCTCAGCTACCCTTGTAAGTAATGCACCCTGGGGGTCCCTGGCTCCCTGGGGGGGTTGGAGGGGGGAAGAGACACAGGCCGGTTCCCGGGGGGGGAGGGGACTCTCTTTGCCTCCTTCCCTCTTCTGCAGGAAGGAGGGGGGTCTTTTCAGATCCCCCCTTGGAGGAAGGGGCCCACCGGGCGGCGCCTGGGGGTCCCATTGAGCCCCTCCGAGATCAAAATTCCCCAATGAAGCAGCTCACCAAACAGCTGATTTTATTTATTTCTTATTTCTTAGGAAATGTATTTGTGCCCATCTCACATCCGACGACTCTGGGCAGCTTAGACATAAAAACACGAAAGTCCTCCAGTATGGAATATTGCAGCAGATAAAATCTTTAAGACACAATGGCAAGGAGGGAGGGGGCATAGTAGGGGCAGGGGGGGTTAATTGTTCCACCCCCTCCAGTGTGAAGCCCCCCCCCTTAGGACTGCGTGAGCGGTTCTGACTCTTTGCCCGTGGGACTCCCTGGCCGGCAGCCGTGGGGAGCCACGCAGAGCCCCCGCTGGGAACACAGGCCAGGCTGCAGGCTCAGCAAAGGGCCACCTTGAGGACAGGCAGAGGGGCAAAATTCCCATTTAAATCACCCCCCCCCCAAGTTTCCCTGGGTAAGGAAGTCATGGGATGAAAGAAGGAAGCCAGGTGGAAGGCAGAGGATGTGCATGGATGGACTCCGGCTCCCCTTGGGCTGGGCAGCTGCCGAGGACGCTGGGAACTGTAGTCCAACAGAATTTAAAAGGACACGCCTGAGACTTATGGGCTTCCTATAAAGAAAAACAGGACAGTCTCTCTTTTGTTTATACGAGTGGTCCTCGACATACGATGAGAATATATGTTCTTAAATGAGACATTTGTTCAGTGAATCACTGCAGCTGATAAGTGAGTCACGTTGTTGTTAAGTGAATCTGTTCCCTAGGGACTTTGCTTGTCAGAAGGTCGCAAAGGCTCATTCGCATGACCCCAGCGCATTCTGACCGTCATAAATATGAGTCCAGTGCCAAGGGTCTGAATTTTGATCACGTGACCATGGGGATGGCCACTAGGTGTGAAAAACGGTCCCAAGTCAATTTTTTTCAGAGTCGTAACTTAGAAACGGTCACTAAATGAAGTGTTGTAAGTTGAGGGCTGGACTAGAAGACCTCCAAGGTCCCTTCCAGCTGTATTCTGCTCTACTCTATTTGTCATACGTTATTGAGGACTAACTGTGTTCATCCATCCATCCATTCATTTCTGTAAGGAGGGGTCCGTGATGCCCCCCACCCCCACCCCTGTAAAGTGATGGGTCTCCGGCTGGGTTCCCCCTGGGGGAATGAAGGGTGGGAGGCTTGCCTGCTCTCCAGGCCTGCTGGCCGGTCCAAAGCTTCCCAGGGGCGTCTGCAGGGGGCAGCCCGGAAAGGCCAGGGAGGGGCTGTAACAGTGCGACCCCCAGGAAGAGGGGGGAGGTTCCCCCGTAGCCTCCTGGCCACCGTTTTGGCTTCTCTTGAGCCTCCCTCTGCTGGGCTCTGCTGGGCTCTGCTGGCTCTTGGCCGGCTGGGAGGGCTCTCCGGCTTAGGACCACCCGCTCCCGGGACCAGGAGGGCGAGGACATCCGCTTGAGCAGGGGGTTGGACTAGAAGACCTCCGAGGTCCCTTCTCTTCTTATATTCTGTCTTATTTGGCTGCTGAGCGTGGCTGATGGCTGGCTTAAGCAAAGGCCCGAGGAGTCCCAGGTGGCCCACAAGGCCTGGGAGACCCTGAGGGGCCTGTAGCCTGGCCCCTCACCTGGACCACAGCTGGGGGCAGCGTGGGTTGGGCCAGCACCCTCTGGGGCCTTCAGTGGGGCTCAGGTCGTACGAGGACACGGAATCGGTCCTTGTGGAAAGGGCAGATTCGGCAGAACGGGGGTGGGGGGGGGGGGCACAGGTGTGCTAAGGTTAAAGGTCCCAAAGCCAAATGCCATAGAAAAGAGGGTCACTGGAAGAGGGGGGGGGCTGCTGCTGCTCCCCCTCCCCAGCAAGGCCTCAGAAACCTTCCCAGTCGCTGCCTAACAGCTATCAGGCGGCTTCAGCAGAATGGAATGTGCAGCTGGGTTCCAGCACATCTGGAGCTGCTAGTTGGAGGAGGAGGAGGGAGGGCTTTAGCACAGCTGCCTCCTCTGTTTGGCTCTTCCTGGTTCTGGGTCTGGCCCAGCCGTTCCTGCAATAAGGACCCCCTGGATCCTCTGCCTGTCATCCAAGGCCGAATGTCCCACGCAGCAGGAACCTTGCTTTCGGGAGCAGGCTGCCTGGGGGAGGCTGGGAGTGGAAGCCCCCCCCCTCCCTCCCCGTTGTAAAGTCAAGACCACGGGAAGGCTGAAGACCACCACACCTGGAATCCTGCACCCAGTTCGGGTCACCACCTTGTGACCGAGATGTGGGGACTCTAGAAGGAGTGCAGAGAAGAGCAACCAGGATGATTAGGGAGCTGGAGGCTCAAACATACTAAGAACAGGAATTCTCGTTTAAGGAAAAGAAGGCATGAGGACAGTGTTTCTCAACCTTGGCGACTTTAAGTCCTGTGGACTTCAACTCCCAGAATGCCCCAGCCAGCACAGCCAGGGATCTTCCAATAGTTGAAAGGCTGCCCTAAAGAAGAGGGTGGGGGGCTCCACCTCTTCTCCAGAGCCCCTGAAGGCAACGGATGGAAAGTAATCAAGGGGAGAAGCCACCTGGGACTAAGGAGGAATTTCCTATCAGTGAGGACAATTCACCAGGGGAACCTCCTGCCTGCAGGCATCGAGGCTGCTCCGTCACTGGAGGCTTCCAAGAAGAGGCTGGGCCACCCTCTGGCTCAAATGGGACCGGAGAGCCATCGGTCTCCTGCTTGACCAGGGGGTTGGACTAGAAGACCTCTCCAACCCTGGTTTTCCTGTATTTTGGAAGTTGCCGGGTTTGGAGAGATTTCTCTGGGGTTTGGGGGACTAAGGGAGGCCACTCCATCCTCCGTGTCTGTGAGATCATTTCAGCACCAGGCCGAGCCAGCCTCTGCCGTCCTTCCCCTTCCATCCTCGCATGGCAGAGATGCCCTTCAGGCCGCCCGCTGGCGTCGCTCTTGCGAAGAAGGAAAGGAGGGGGCCTGGGCTGGGTTGGCAGCCCAGCAATACAATACAGCAGCAATACAATACAATAGCAGAGTTGGAAGGGACCTTGGAGGTCCTCTAGTCCAACCCCCTGCCTAGGCTGGGAACCCTGCGGAGCCAGAGGGCAGCCCTGGCAGACCCTCCTGCAGAGGGACGGTGGGCATTGCTTGCTTGGCAGCTGGATCTCCACCCCGGGTGTCCTCGGGGCAAAGTGCCAGGGGCTGCCGGTGCAGCTGGCACTTTGCCCAACTATAGTCGTCCTTCACTCACCACCATTCAGAGTTGCAGCAGCACTGGAAAAAATGGACTGCTAACTTTGTTTCAGGCTTACGACCAAGGTCACCTGATCAAAATCCAGACGCTTAGCACCTGACTCCTATTTATGACGGTCGCAGTGTCCCGGGGTCACCTGACCCTCTTTTGCGACCTCCGGATGGGCAAAGTCAACAGGGAAAGCGAGATTCACTTAAGAACCAGGCGTCTCACTTAATAATTGCGGTGATTCCCTTAACAACGGCGGCAAGGCAGGTCGGAAAGCGGAGTAACCGTCTCGCTTTGCGATAGAAATTTGGGACTCGGTTGTGGCTGAAGTCAAGGATGACCTCTCCCTGCCCCACACTGAAACTCTTTCTGGGCTCTGAGGGCAGGAGGGGGGTAGGGGGGGCTTCTGCCACCTCCTAAAACCACCCAAGAGAAGAGGAAGAGGAGGAAGAAACCGCCGTGCTCCTCAGCCGTGTCCTTGGTCTGGTGGCCCCGGGTTCAAGGCGTCCTGGGCTGTGGGTTGGCTGGATGGCTGTTTATACAACCCAGGATTCGGCTCCAAAGGCTCAGCTTAGCCCCCTCCCCCTGTTCTGAGTCTTCTTCCCTTTCATCACCTTTCAGCCTCTTTGGAGGGTCCATGGTTGACCCTGAGGAATTGGGGGGGGGATCAGAGGCAGACCCGGAGGGAGGGGGATGCAGATCCAGAGGAGGGCAGCTGGAGGCCCAAAGCTGATGAGGGGGCAGAAGAAGCCATGGATGGGGAGGGCTGGGTTGTGGGTTGTGTGTGTGTAAGACCCCTCCCAGGTGCAAGATCAAAGGGATGGGGGGAAGTCAGGTGTGAAGGGGAGGGTGGTGAGGGAAAGGGCCCCCGGATTGGAGGCAGGGGTCTCTGGCTGCCAGGGGGAGCTGCTCACCGGCGGCGTCTTTTCTTCCTGGGTTTCGTGGCTGCAGGCAAATCTGAAGAAATTTATGGACTATGTGCAGAGCCTGAGTGTGGAGAAGGTCAGCCGGTTGGTGGAGAAAGGACTGGACCCCAACTTTCATGACCCGGACACTGGAGGTGAGGTGGAGGGGGGCTGGGGGGGTCCTGGGAGTTGAAGGCCATGTATCTGCACGTCACCATAGTGGAGAAAGACCGCCTTAAGGGGAGCTTTGGGCCAAGGAGAGGTCCTGGGGCTTTCCCCTGTGTTCAAATCCTGCCTCCTAGAGTCTCCCCTGGGACCTTTTGCTGGCTTTATAGCACTTGGGGCATTGCACACCCTTTCGTTTCTGCCACGGGGCAGGCCTGTGTGAAGGGGGGGGGCGAGGCGTTTGAGCCCTTTATATGGCCAAGGGTGATTAGGCGTGATTTTCTCCGGTGCAAAAGCTCCCCCTGCACATGCAAAATTAAAGAGCAATAATGATAATAAGAGGAGATAGTAGCAGAGGTGAGAAGGATCATAGTTATACAGCCCTACTACGCGGGTAAATAGGCGTCAGACGGTGCTGTGGGAGGCTGTTTAGCAGAGCGACGGCACGGAGGAAAACACCTCGTCTTCGTGTCTAGTTGTTTGGCTGGGCGATGCCCTGGAGTGGCCTCCAGAGGGGGGGAGTTGGCACAGTTGATGCCCAGGGCCTGAGGGCTCCGTAGGTATTTTCCCAGCCCTCTTGGTGCCCTCTGCAATCTACGGGTCTTCGGGGGAAGGACGGCTGCTTACGGTGGTTTCCTCTGCAGTCCGAACTCTCCGTCAAAGCCCCTCTCCTGGGTGGTTGCTGGGCCAAACCAGGCAGTTATGGAGGTGGAGATGAGGGAGCCCAGAATCCCTCAGCCGAACTGCATCAGCAGCTCCTGGGGCAGGTTGAACGGCCTGAGTCGGTGCAGGGAGAAGGTTCTGGTGGGCCAAGCCAAGGTTTCATTTCATCCGGGTTACTTCGGGAGGCGGCCGGAGACGCCGGTTACGGCCCTTGAGGAAGTCACCCAGGCGAGGGGAAGGACTGGTCCAGTTGATGGGAAGGGGGCTGAAGGAGACCCTCCAAAGATTCCCTGCTGAGAGCCGTCTCTCCCCCCTGCCCCCTCCCCTCCCCAGAATGCCCCCTGACCATGAGTGCCCAGCTGGAGTTGTGTGCCGAGATGATCAAAGCCTTGAAGAGCGGTGGTGCCCACTTGGACTTCCGAACCCGCGAAGGGATGACGGCTCTGCACAAGGCCGTCCGATGCCGGAATCACACTGCCCTGCGGGTGAGTCTCCGCTTGCCCCCCCCCCAGAGCCTGGACAGCTGACCCTGGTCCCTGGAGGGGGCTGGGAGGGCAGGAGCTGCAGTGCTGCAGGAGGAGAGCCAGAGACGGAGGCGCCCAGGAGCCCCTGCTGGCTCCCACGGAAGAAGCCGAGAGGGGGAAGGCCCCCAGTTCTCCGGTTGAGGTCTCTGAGCCTGGGGGTTTTCTAGGGAACGCCATCAGGGCCGGAAGGAAAAGGGGCTTTGTCCCAGGGTTGAAATTCAAATTTTTTTACCGCCGCTTCTGTGGGCGGGGCTTGGTGGGCGTGGCAGGGGAAGGGTACTGCAAAATCCCCATTCCCCCATCCCCACTGTGGGGCCAGGCAGAGAGGTGGCATTGGCCGGTTCTCCGAACTACTCAACATTTTCAATTTCAATTTTTCAATTTTAATGGATTTGTATGCCGCCCAATCCCGAAGGACTCCGGGCGGCTTACATAAAAACAGTTTTAAAAAATATTAAAAGAATTTTGAAAATACAAAACAGAGCGGATTAAAAAAAGACACAACATGCACTCGATCTTAATGGGGCTGAAGCTCAATCAGAGATCAGCAGCCCCAGGCCTGCCGGAACAGCCAGGTCTTAACAGACTTTCGGAAGGCCAATTTCCGCTACCAGTTCTCCAGAACCTGTCAGAAGCTGCTGGATTTCAGTCCTGGTTTGTCCTCTGTGGGTCTATTGGTGTCGGTGCGGGTGGGAGTGTTAAAGCCACCTTCGAAGTCCCTCCTTGCCAGCAATCAACAGCCGGAGAAACAGAGATGGACACCAGGGTGAATACCAGGCTAACAATCCAGCATTAAACCAGACCCCAGTCAAGGAACTGCCGATTCAGACAAACAAGCGGTCAACAACAGCCTAACCAGACTGGCAGGGCAAACCCCTTGATGAGACCATCCCCCCCCTCCCTTCCGGCTCACGAAACGCCTGCAAGGAAACTGCCGAGCTCAGAGGGCACCAAGGAGGAAGCCGTCGTGTGGGGCCCACATACGCACATCTGACCACCTTCGCATTCTGCCCTGGGGGGGGGGGCATCTTTGCCAACCCCCAAATG